AGCAAGAGCAAGAGCAAGAGCAACAGCAACAGCAACAGCAACAGCAACAGCAACAGCAACAGCAATAACAGCACCAGCAACAACAGCAACAACAGCAAGAACAGCATTAGCAGTAACAACAACAACAACAGCAACAACAACAACAACAACAACAACAACAACAACAACAACAACAACAACAGCAACAGCAACAACGGCAACAGCAACAGCAGCAGCAACAGCAACAGCAACAGCAACAGCAACAGCAACAACGGCAACAGCAGCAGCAACAGCAACAGCAACAGCAGCAACAACAACGACGACGACGATGACGACAACGACAACGACGATGACGACAACAACAACAACCACAACAACAACAACTACTACTACTACTACAACTGCTAGAACAAATTAGCAGCAACAACAACAAGTACTACTACTACTATTACTACTACTACTACTACTCCTACTATCACTGCTTCCCACTACCGCTTTTTCTACTCCTACTACTTCTTGGGCTGCGACTACAACTACCACTGCGACAGCAACAACCACAACAGCGACAGCAGCAGCAACAGCAACCACAACGCAAGCACCTTAAAAAAAGCAACAGTCACAACGACGAAAACAACTAGAGCAACGACAACAACAGCAGCAACAACAACAAAACGGCAACAGCAGAAGCCAGAAGCAGTAGCAGCAGCAGCAACAACAACAGCAACAACAACAGCGACCGCAACAGCAACAGCAACAACAGCAGCAGCAGCAACAACGACAACCACAACCACAACCACAGCCACAACCACAACCACAACCACAATCGCAACCGCAAGCGCCACCACAACAACTTCAACAACTACAACAACAACAACCACCACCACAACCACAACCACAACCACAACCCAAACCACAACCACAACCACAACCGCAACCACAACTACAACCACAACCACAACCACAACCACAACCACAACACCAACCACCACCACCACCAACAACAACAACAACCACAACAACCACCCTGAAAACAGACGAGGGCGGGTTGGAGGGAGACATTAAATTTTGCTTTTGTGTTTCATTCGCGCGCGTCTCTGTCCAGGCCTTCAAGCATTTGACCGGGCCCAAGCTGTTTTTGAACTGCCACCTGTCACGCTGCAAAGCACGAAGCCACAGACTTGAGTCCAAGCTTTTCTTGAGCCTTGGCACCGTTTGGCTGTGTTTCTCCTTGAGTTTGCTGCGCTTGGGCGGGTGTTCTTACCATCTGGCAGGCCTGTGTGCAGTGCGCAGACGCTCTTGAGCAGACAAAGTACTATTCGCTGGATGAGTGCCACTGCGCAGTTTAAGGCCGGAGCAACCACAGCAGTAGCACCACCACAACTATCATTTAACACCACAATGGTCACCGCAACCACCACCACCACCACCACCACCACCACCGCCAGCACAACCAGCACCACCAGCAGCACCAGCAGCACCAGCAGCACCAACACGCCCGCGGCAACAACCACGACGACAACAGCAACGGCAACAGCAGCAGCAACAGCAACAGCAACAACAGCAGCAACAACAGCAGCAACAACAGCAGCACCAGGAACAGTAGCATCAACAGCAGCCACAGCAGAACAGCGACAACACACCATACATTTCTATCCTAAGAAGGCAGTTCTCAAGCGTGATTGGTTTCCGATTTGCCCACGCTTTTACTTGCTTGGGGCCGATGGACCGGGAAGCGCCGGCAATTCTGTTCTGGCGAGGCGCCACGACGGACCATGACCATTGTTAGCCTGCCACCTCAAGCACAGATACAGGGGCAAGGGGCCAATAGGCTTGGAATCAAGTCTGGCGCTTGGACGTGTTCATTTACCGTTCAGGTGGGATGTTGGACTCAAATAATCTCAACGAATACATGGCTACCCTTTCCCAAGCATTCTCTCCCTTGTGACCAAAACATTTCTATTGGACGCCCGCAAGGATCCAAACAAAGAACGAGGAGATGCCAAGAGATCTGGCACTGGAGTGGCTGATTGGCCTGTCGTTTATGTTGGCTGCGGCACCCAGCATTTCAACGGATTGGAGTAACTACCTCCCACCTAGGCCCGCTCGAATCTAACAGGGGTTTCCCTATTCAAGGGTATGTAAGCACTACATAGTTGTAGATCGATGGTTTCGCCCCAGGAGATTTACATGGAGTCCGCAAATTGTGGCTAATCAATGAACCAGGGGTTTACCCCAATAGTTCATGTATGGCTTACACTCAGTCGTTGAGTGTGGTCTGTTTGTCTTTCCTTCTGTCTGTCTGTCTGTCTTTCCATTTGCCTTTGTCGACTGTTTAACCCACCTGGCAGGTAGGCTCTAGCCAAGGTAATAAAGGAACTAACCCCGGTCAGCCCAGTTGTATTCATGGGTTCTCGCCTGTCAGGGTTGACCAGCCAAGCTTGGCCGAAGGCCACCGTCTCACTGCCTTCCGGCCTGGCCTCCACCTCCGGGTCGTTGACCATCGTGGGCGCCAGTCCGCGGCGCCTCGAGGAGGCCGAAACCTCGAGAGAGAAGCTGAAAGGGGGCTTAGCAGAAAGTGTTGCGCGGTGCCCTTCAAATCCTGTGCCCTTGTTCCACTTGTTCCCCTTTGTTCATTTCCCTCGGGTGCCCTTTAAAATCCTTCTTGTGCCCTTGTTTTCCCTCGGGTGGTCACTCCTTGGGCGACCCCATGCTAGCCAGCCCGATTTTGATAAAATGAGGCGGCGCCGGATTCCAGCAGACACCGCCTGCGCCAGTTCCAGCAAACAAAACCAATCCTCGAAAGCGCCAGGTCCGGCAAACACAGCCTTCAATCCTTGAAAATCAAGCACAAGAAGAACCCATCCTTGAAACGCCGGGCTCCGGCAAACACAGTCAAGCGCAAGCCAAGTGCAATCAAAACCAATCCTTGGAAACGCCGGGTTCCGGCGTTAGCGCATCCCTTGAATGAGCAGCAGTTAAGATAGAGGAGGCTACTAAATCTTCGTTTGGCATGTATTTTTCTGACCCCCAAACGGACGCTTGTCCGCAAAACGGCCATTTTCGAGGAAACACACGCTTTTCAAGAAGCACACTTTTCAGCTGTCCCCCTTTCTATCAGTTTTCACGAAAACGGGCGCTTTTCGGGCGCTTTTATTCCAAGGCAGCAAACTGAAGCGAAAATGCTGCCTGACGCGAAACAACACGGCAGCAGCAAACAGCGCCTGGCAGCCACGACGGCGCGGCTCCAACCTGCAAAGCACACCGAACTCGGTCCGAGCAAACCTCGAAACGCGTGGTTCAGCGTTGTATGCGTAGGGAATGGTTGAGGCCAAGGAGTCTTGAGAGAGAGAGGTTCTGTCCATTTCAGGTCATCAAGGCTGGGTGGCTGCTTGGGCTGGTTGGGTCCATCAGTTGCCTCACTGGGATGTAGGGCTCCCTATTGTTTGTGATTGGTGGCAGCTGAGAATTGCTCAGAGTTGGTTTCAGATGAGTTTTGGGCCGGCTTAGGTCTTGATGAGGGCGGGTCTTGGCTGATGTCCAGGCTGTTGTTGGGTGACTTTAGCGTTGACTTTGGTTGCGTGCGTTTGGGAGCGACAAGTAACCCAAAGCCACCCAAGGTTAACCCTAAAGGCACCCAACAGTAGCCTATATAAATATCGCCCTTTGCCGAGCCTAACTGAAGCTTAAACAGATCCAAGAACCGTCAAACCCCAGGCTAAAACTCACCGGAAGCCCCGGGCAACTCTCAGGCTGCCACCGAATCAGAATTCAAGTGAGGCCGTTGATGATCAAAATGCGGCCATCCAATCCGACCCCAGCAGCCAACCGGCTCCCAGAAAATGCCGCCTCGAAGACCCCAGCTGGAAGGCTCCTGCACACGGAGGGCCTTGTGTTGAACCAGGGTTTGTAAAAAGAAAGAGGGTTCGTAACATTCTTGACACCCAACCTCATGAGCCGCTTTGGTTTGCACGTGAGAATGAAAGGCGCATTTTCCTCATGTTCCGTCCATTTTGGCTTTGGTTGAACAAGGTTGCGTTTAGAGATTGGGGGCCTAGGTTACCCGGAATTGGTGTTCTTTTGTTTGCAAGCCGCGCTGAAAGTGAGTGAAATACAGGTTAGGTTTGCTGATTGGAGCCGACGGCATGTTTGAGTCTTGTTTGTGCCAAGTCATTTTCACCGCCCAGATCCAGGAGTGATCAGGAGTCCTCCTGGCTTCGCCAAAAGAAGTCCCTACTTAGGTCTTCGAGTTAGTAAGTCGTGGTCACCTAGGTTAAAACCCACTTGTAAGCTCTCGTCAGCGGGTCAACCTTGCTATCAGAGGGTTATACCCCTCACCGCTGGACCACTTCCCAACTGGCCGAACACGAAACCTGCCTGGTCCATGCAAAACACGAGTTTCCGCTCGCTCGTTTGAACGAGCGAGGCTCCAGTGGCCTCGCGGGTTGTGGGGTCGTCTCGAAATCAGGAGGCGGACGAGGCGGACCTGGAGGGTGGCCGGCGCCTGGCGGTGACCTGCGAGGCGTACGGCACAGCCTCCATCAGCGGCACCACGCTCACCCTCCCAGCCGCCCGGCCGGTTGTGGGGGGGTGGGGGGGTGGGGAATTTTGGTCAGGCCACGCTGTGAAGGGCGGCAAGGGGGACCTGATGAGTGTTTTTTCTTCAACCGTGGTTTGAAGTCGCAATTTTTGTTGAAGACCCATCAGCAGCCACAGCTGGGTTAAGCGAACGGGTTTGGGGGGTGGCAAAACCAGGGCCAAGTCATACGGTCCATGGGGAAGGTACAACCAAGGAGACTTCTGGTGACCGCCACAAAAGCGGACCCGCCCGCATGCAGGCGATGCGCGAAACACTGAAAGAGCTGGCGATGCTGGCAACGCAGCCGGGTTGCTGCATATTTGCAGTTTTTTTAGCCTTCCCTCAACTCGAGCTCCAGTGGCCGCGCGGGTGGTGATGATGCACCAAAGGCGCTGGAATGCAGACGATGGGGGGGTCGGCGGCAGTGACCGTCTCTCGGAAGGCAAAGCCTAGGCATGCGCGCCTTTGAGCGACATTGCGCGGCGAGGCCGGATTTAAAGGCCTGCAGCCTGGTTCCGCCGCCCCCACACACCTTAGAATTTCGGCCCGGGGCGAGAGAAAGCACGCGCGCACAAACCGTTCGCGGACAGCGAAGACAGACACAGATACGTAGACAGACGCAGGCAGACACAAAGAGACACAGCCAGACACGCATCGGGGAGGGTCTTTGCGGACATGAAGCAAGACGCAGATATGTGGACAGACGCAGACAGACACAAAGAGACACAGACAGACACGCAGCGGGGGGAGGGGGGCGGAAGAGGGGACCAGAGATGCAGAGATCCAGACATCCAGACAGCCCATACATCCAGAGATCCAGAGACCAAATCCAGACATCCAGAGATCCAGGCATCCAGACATCCAGACATCCAGAGATCCAGAGATCCAGAAATCCAGAATCAAGCCGAGTTTCCCGCCAAAGGGACACATGAACACATATCAACAAAAGCAACACAGAACACGCCGCCCCCATGCCAAAAAACATGGTCCATTCTGCACCAGGCATGGGGTCGGCGGATTTGGCATGAGAGAAGGCCTTGCTTCGCTTGCTTTACATGCCACCCCTGTAGACAGGCGGGCTACATGCGCTTTGAGCAATTTGCTGCCAAAGGGGGTGTTTACAATAACAGTTGAACTTCAAGTGGGCAGTGAAGCATCCAAGATTGCTCCGGCAGCCTCCCAAAAGTCTTGGATCCAGGATCCAACTATTCATGTTGAAATCCAGATTTTGAATTTCACGGTGACAGTGTAAGAAAATACTGCATTGAGATTACAGTAGGCAAAATCCCTTGATTTTGGAGACATGGGGGCAGAGAGCGTTCCATATTATATGTAGCTGTGGTTGCCCCCCTCCCTCCCCCCCCCTGGGAATGCTGGCCAGGTGCTGGGGGGGGGGGGGGAGGCAGCTAACATCGACATACAGACGTTTTCTTGGCAAGGGGCAACCATCCAGTCGAGGTTCGCACCATCGGTACTGCCAGCGATCCGTGCGTCGCGGGATCCTCGCTCTCGGTCACCTTGCGCCTCGGGCGGCCTCGAACTTAAGAAGCCTCGCAGGTTGGGGTTTCGGAAGCAAATTGCAGAGGCTGACTTAGGTATGGAGGGGAATGAAAAAATCCTCAAAAATCGCAAAAAATCTTAAAATTAGGTATTCCCTTTGGGTGATTTAGAGCCAGTTCCTCGTTGGCGGGGTGACTCTTTCATTGTCTGCCCGCTAACTCGGGGTTGCAAGGGGACGGTCGTTTAGACAACCTTTGTAAGGGCTCCTTTCAACCATGGCGCAGTTCTTCTGTCGGTCAGAGCAGGCCGGCTGTGATATGAGAGAGTAGTGCCGAACCGTATAGCCCCTTGCACGCTCGTGGTGCTCAGGTGTAATCATAGGTTTGTGAATTTACATGGGTCAGTTGTGCAACTTCTGAGGTCAGCGAGTCCCGTATTCCAGTGGACAGATGTTGAGAAGATGGGTGTATTTTCTCCTGCATTTCTGATCAACGGTACTTGGTTGGCGCACCGACATTTCGCTTTGACACTGTTACCCAGGCCCCGTTGTTCAGTATGTCGTTAACTTGAGCTTTCCACGTTTTGCAGCGCAGATGTGTGGGGTTCGTAACACTAAGGCAATGCAGCACCCCGTGTGAATGTTGGCAACAAGACGAAGACAAAGAGTCACCTGAAACGGTGGCTCTCCAACTGATTTGGTTGTGAATGGGCACAACGCTGCAGCAACTGCCTGTTGCTTTGCCACTTCCTTTCTTGCTGGTTTGCCTGACTTGCGACTTGCGTTCTGCTTGGCCCCCTTGTGGAGTCAGGACCGCGAATACTGCCACGTACAACAGCGTTTCCACGGGCTCGCTGGCTTTCTCGGTGCAACTCGGCATGGCGGCGGCGCGTTGTTCAGTGGATGTCACCCCTTGGGTTTTTTCTTGGGTCCCTCTAAAAATGGGCGCCCTTTTTGATTTCCCTACCCGTTGGGTTTGGGAGTCCTTGATCCATGTGTTTGGAGCTCCTGGTGAAGGTGCAAGTTTAGATTTGGCCAGGCCTGGGAGCTTATCTTAAGGCTGTCAGCACCAATCTGTTTAGTCGCAATCAAAAGCTGGAAGGGGCAGTGCCAACCAGAAGTAGGTGATGACGCCCTTCGATTCAATATCGGGTTGCTACTGGAAACTGCTTGACCAGCAAGCATTGTTGCAATTGGGTAGAGGCATGTTGCACTGGCTTTGGGTGTTACATCTCCTCTTGATTGATGCACATGCGCTGCTGCTTGTTTGCGTGCCAAGGGCATGTGTGAGTCCATCCTGGGCTGCCTCGCTCGAATTCAAATCTGATACCAGCGGGCCCACACGGTTGTTCACAACCTTTCCTCTTGGTACGTAGGCAACGGGCTTGACTAACAATTCACGTAGCATCTCTTGTTGACTGGCGGTCGGAGTATGGAGCTTGCGCTTTCCATCCCCGCAAGATTGCTGGTTACCTTGGTGGTAATTGTGATCAAGTTCGCAACTGCGGTGACGGCCGCTTCAGGCAGAGCCAAGTGAATGGGTCGCTTATTCATGACCCTTCCTTCTCTAAATTCCGCCCGGTCCTTGGTTTTAATGTTTGGCCTTTGCCTGGACAGAGCCCTGCATTTGTTTGTAAAGGTGCCGCACGCGCACACGCGCGCGCGCGCGTGTGTGTGTGTGTGTGTGTGTGTGTGTGTGTGTGTGTGTGTGTGTGTGTGTGTGTGTGTGTGTGTGTGTGTGTGTGTGTGTGTGTTTGTGTGTGTTGTGTGTTTGTGTGTGTTGTGTGTGTTGTGTGTGTGTGTGTGTTTGTGTGTGTGTGTGTGTGTTTGTGTGTGTGTGTGTGTGTGTGTGTGTGTTGTGTGTTTGTGTGTTTGTGTGTTTGTGTGTTTGTGTGTTTGTGTGTTTGTGTGTTTGTGTTTGTGTGTTTGTGTGTTTGTGTGTTTGTGTGTTTGTGTGTTTGTGTGTTTGTGTGTTTGTGTGTTTGTGTGTTTGTGTGTTTGTGTGTTTGTGTGTTTGTGTGTTTGTGTGTTTGTGTGTTTGTGTGTTTGTGTGTTTGTGTGTTTGTGTGTTTGTGTGTTTGTGTGTTTGTGTGTTTGTGTGTTTGTGTGTTTGTGTGTTTGTGTGTTTGTGTGTTTGTGTGTTTGTGTGTTTGTGTGTTTGTGTGTGTGTGTGTGCTTAGGTGTGCGTATGTGCGTTTGTTTGTTTGTTTGTTTGTTTGTTTGTTTGTTTGTTTGTTTGTGCGTGTTTGTTGGTTGTGTGTGTGTGTCTTTCCTTTGGTCGGGGGCCTGAGCCCTTGGTGATGAAGGTTCCACTTTCCGTGTTATTTTTTGCGGTCAGGTCGCATGTCCTATTCGCACGCAAGATCCTTGGACACGTCCTTATTCCTAAAACGGAGGAAAGTCTTTTCAAAGGGTGCTGGGAGCTTCCCCTGCGCCGCCTGAACCCCACCAAATATGGAGACCTGAATCCTGCTGGTGTAAACCTTTTATCTTCAAGAACCCTCCAACATACCTTTGAGCATACCCCACCCCTCTAATGATGACATTTGCTTTCATTTGGGATCCGGCTATGTTGGTGGGTTCTTGGATTATCACCTGAAGAGGTCGACCGGGTTGTGGCTTCACCGCAGGGTGACGAATGTGGACTCGGCCCCTGTGAGCGTGACCATCTCCGCTGCTTGGCCCGGAAAGGGGTTTCAGAGGTGGGGAAAGATCGCCATAGTGGTTTTAGCGTAGAGCTTCCCGCCCGAGAAAATACAGTAGATGGACGAAATCCGCACCACAGAAGAAACCCTGGAATATTAGCAGACAATGATTTCCCATGGGTTCTTAGGTAGTGCAGGATTTCCTCGGGAACAAATGGGTGGGTTGCTTTTGGTTTAATGTACCAATCCCAAAAAAAGGCGACGAACATGCAGCTGTTGGCCTGAGAGCGCAGGCAAAAATGAGAACGATGTCTTTTTGAGTTGATACCCTTGGTTTTGTTTTCGGTCCCGGGGGTGGGTTGGAATCTGAGGTGGACAACTCAGGCACCTTCAGCCTTTCGGTGGTTGGAGATCCCATCACCTGGTACAAGGGCAAGAAGATCAAGTTCTGGTTCCCCCCCCAGGAGGGGTGGCAGTGCTTGACATCTCTCGGCCTTTTTCGGCCTTCAGGAAAAACAACGGTGAGGTGGTTTCATGCGGCTTGTGGCAACCAGTTTGGACACATGGTAGCCACAAGGATTTGAGAGGTTGTAGCCTTGTGGACGCCTAAGTTTTGGTGTGGCCGTATGTGGCTCTTTCGCTCTGACTTGAGCGCAATTGGTACCTCTTGTACCTCGGTTTTTGGGCGGGGGATGGCGGGGGCAATTAGAAGCTTGAATCGGCCGGCCAGGAGCTGATGCCACTGCTGCAGACCCCGGAGATGACCATTTGGGCCAGAACCTTCACAGGAGCTGTGGCTGAGTGGCTGGCTGAACTGTTGGCGTTCGGTATGGCCGTTTGGCCCCAGAAGGTGTAGGGATGGGACTTTATCCCTCACTGTTTGCCCTTGAATGTTGAAGTACTCACAGGACCTTGGCTTGCTCTTCTCAGTGGGTTCGGCAGACTCAGTGTCTAGTGGCAAATTGAGCGTACACAGTGCCAGAGATCTTCAGATGTCCAGCGACAGATCCGTCAAGCATTGCATCCGTTAGTTTAGTTACAACGAACCTGCTCGAATGCATTGAACCTGCTAGGGTACCTTGACCAGTTTTCCAGGTGACAAGATGAAGCAAGCGCAAAACGTTCCAGAACATTGCCCAAGCACTCACTGCCCTGCCCCGCCACGCGCAGGGCCTTCCATCGACTACCAGTGGTTCGATCGCTTCATGATCACCTCTCCTGAGGGCAAGGAGATTGTGGATATCAACGTTCGCCGTGCCACCCCTGGCCCCTCGACGGGCAGTGCGCGGGCATTGTATTAAAAAAAAGAAGAAGAAGCCACCGTTCGAACCACCCAACCGCTGGAAACGCAGCCCAGGAGATCCCCGAGTGGAAGGATCAAGGGACGCCCCCCTATAGTTACAATTTGCACATGAGACATGGTGATGCAGCTGCATTTGTTGCTGAGCGGCAATTGAGTTGTGCGTCTAACAGCGCACTAATCATCAAAAACTCAGGCTAGTTAATTACAAGCACCCAAAAGACGCGCCAAAGGGGACACCCAACATATTACTTATTTGTTACTAGGCCCTCAGCGGGCCTGGAATAGTTTCCCATCTCAATTGGCTGTCGACTATTTCGATCTCCAGTTTGCACGCGTATCCATGCGGGCCCCACATGCAGGCCTCTGTGAATCCCAGCCCGCTGCTTTTGGGCAAAGTCAAGCTCCATGAACCCCAAAACCTCGTCGGCCGACAGCTTGGATTTTTGCTTCCATCAATGGCCTCGTGCTGTTGCTCCTCGGGGTCTTGTGAGCCCCTTGTTTGGCTTAAGTTACATGCTGAGAAAGCATGTCACGCCCAACCCCTGTCAATGCTTGCTATCAGTTGGCAGCCCCTAGTTTCAACCTCCAGTTTCCACGAGACCCCTGAGAAGGCACCTCCCAATAGATCCCAGGGCCAGCGTCAAGGCTCGTTTGTTGGAACCGACTGCATCGATTTCTCCAGGCGCGAACCGCTCGAACTTCGCCCGCGACAACTTCCGACAGCTGGACATCAAGGTGCAGGGCACCAAGACATTGCTCCACCGCAGCCTCTTGGATCTTGGTGATGGCTATGGAGCCGGATGTGCTCTGCGGGATCCATGGTTTCAGCAAACTGGTTTCTCTTTCAAGGGACCAGATGTTCTGCCCAGCGCAAATTCCCAAATTTGACCCCAAGCATTCCAAGAATTCTCTTCGCAGATTTCTTTTGTCGAATGCAGTTTCCTCTGATTTGGATGCTTGCAAGGATCCCAAAAGCGAATACCGCTCGGAAAATGGGGAAGCCTGATCACTGAGTGCCGGGAACCCATCCCATAAGCCGAGGTAGGGTGCCCAGGGAGCCGATCAGTCAGGGATGGCGGCAGGTCACGATTTCCTGCTCATGTTTGAGTCCTAAGAAGCCCTAGAGCCAGTATTGTTTAACAGTTGATGCATCAGGGTTTATGGTTTGGCTTGTTCTCCTTCAAGAGTCCCCCAAAATACACCTCAGCAGTGTGTTCTTTAAAGAGACAGGGTTGTATAATATCAATTGTACGCCTTGCCTTGTCGTCGGTGTCATTTGGTGTTCAAGCATATGAGCAAGGAGCAATGTTGCTGGGATGTTGCTTTTGATGGTCCCCTGTCAGTTTTTCCGATTGATGGTCCCCTATCAGTTTTTTTCTGATTGAAGGGGGGAGGGCGAGTGTTTTCGCCGATTCCATTTCCGTGTCTTGTGGAATTCTTGTTGGGTAATATATGGGAGCCCTCGACGACAATTTCATCAGTCAACATCCAGAAGGGGTATGAACGGGTTTTGTGGGAGACGAGCACTTGTTACCGAACCCCTGGGCAACAATATGAGCCCAGACCGCGCTTCACAGCACACGCCTTTAGCTCACACCACCCCCGGAGGATCTCCTGAAGATACTGTAGTCGCTCACTCGCCCAACGCCGACCTTTAAACCTTTGAGTTTCCTCTTTTTAAGGAACGCTTTTGTCCGGGCCGAAAAAAGGTGAGCGCCTTGTACGTCCCCAGGTCTAGGTTCCCGGAGCGATGTTTAGTAGCCAGCATTCAGGTCACATGGACACACCCCAAGGTCAGCAGCTGTACTCTGCGGGCAGTGGAAACGTGAAGGTCGGAGTGGGTGCACGCGCCCTTGGCATGAAACCACGGATCACGCGGATTTGTCCATGCGCCGAGCTGCTATCCTTTTGCATGGCTTCCCTTTAGTTCTGGTGGCCAAACATGAGCCTTGTGTCGTCCATTGTCCGTTGGTCATCAAAGGGATGGATAGTAACTAACCCTGGAGACCCTGGCGGTCAGTTTGGAAACCCCCAACTGGCCAATCCTGACAAGATTGCAGTGCTTTGGTCTAGCTGCTTGCGCCTGGGCTTGATGCCGGATTTCTCGAAACGGGTTTGTTTCCTTGGGTAGGGAAGCCTCCAAATGGGTGGTTGTCTTAGGTTCTCGTCAAAACAATCTCAGAAGCTGAAGCAAAGCACCCAAGCAAGCAGAGCGGGCTGAGGCGTTGTCCATCCTCCACGCGTGCACTCCTCCCCGCTCCTGGAGTTCGTCATGGTGGCTCAGATCATGGAGGATGTCTTATTTGTTGTTGCTTTAAGGAACATGTTAAATGGCAGTAGCGCATTTTGTGGTGTTTTTCTTACGTAATTGGCAGGCGCACTTTTTTGACCATTAAAGTTGTGGTTGCTTTTGGGAACCCAGAGTGGTTGTTGCTGTGGAATGACGGTCTTCGAGTGGGGCGCGCGGGCCCGAATGCAGCCTGTTAAAAGCCGCCTACAATGCAGCAGCTGCCGTGCTTTGTGTTTCTTGGATATGACCCATGGCCATTGGAACTTTAGAAGCGACTTCCGTGGTACAGAAACTAGTTGACTACTGTCGCGAGAAGGTCTGAACATCTGAAACGACTGAAACCTGCAAAGGGCCGCACTTCCCAGATATTGCTATTCCCCCGCCACACGCGCATGCAATTGTTTCGTGCACGCTTTTTCTTCTCGCGTCTTCTGTCTGAGAGCAAGCTTTGCCAGGCGCACAAATTTCGTGACAGGCGCAGCGCTTTCGCAAGGCCTGGCATAGATTTTGTGGCAGGCTCCGCGCGCCCGGCGAATTGCACACAAATACATGCAAAGGAAGCTTTTGGAGAGATAGATGTGCCATATCAATTAAAAGGTCTGTTGATAGATAGAGAGCTAGGTCTAGATAGGTAGCTAGATAGATAGAAAAGCTGATAGACGGAAAATAGATAGCTAGTTGGACAAATGGACAGGCAGGCCGATTGATCGGCAAATAGGTCGATAGATAGCTAAACAAGCAGAATATACACAGACAAGATAGACAGATCGATAGATAGATACATATATATATATATATACATAGATATATGAAAGCCAGGTAGGAGAGATCAGAGAATAACTGGACATAAGAGTGAGAAGAGAGATAGAGTGTGGATTAGTAGAAGGAGAAAGAACAACGAACAGGGACAAAAAGGGAGATCAACAAACAACTATAACTGTTTGTGTTGTTTGAAACTTCCGCCCACCGGCTCCCCTGCGGGGTTTGTTGTTAAAAGCCGCGCGAGCCTCAGACTTCGCAGTCAACTCAAGGACCCGCTCACAGACAGAGAGAGAGAGAGAGAGAGAGGGATGGCACGCAACATAGTTCATAGCCCATGGCCTGGCTACAGTCATCATTCATTCCAATACTGGCATATCGTATTGCAGCTTGGGCTTCTGAATGGGCGCCTTTCTTGGGAAATCCTGTTGCGAGTGATGCAGTAGACAGTAGACGCGTCCTTGAGAGCCCAGGTGGAGAGTGAGTCCATCTCCTTCATGGTCCACGCCAGCCATGCCGGCAGCGAATTCCCAGGCGATGCTGCCAAGCAGGCGAGCATGGGGCCCCTGGGGGTTCGGGGCCTGAAGCAACTCTCGCTTCTACAGATTCCTTGGGTCTGGGTTTTGCCACGGTGGAAACCCGTCCAATCCTGACAGTGCAACCCTAGGAAATGTTAGAAGCCTGTAAGCAACAGGACAACGTTATACACGTATATGTACACATGTTTGCTATAGCGAGCCTTTTTGCCGACGACATGCTTGCATCCGTCAACGCAGTGTGCACATGCCACAGGTTTCATTTGTAGGTAGAAGTGAAAGAGTACATGGAGGGGGCTTACGCCCCCAGTTTGCGCAGTTGAGGGTGGGCATGGTGACCACCCAACATCGGGTCCGCATGTGAGGTCTGTCAAAAGACCCTGTGGAAGTTACCAGGTACCCTTGGGAGCTACCTTCTTGCAAGGGGTTTTGGGAGCTTTCATGCTAAGAGGGACATACTTGTCAGGGATGGTCCCAACCCGAACCATCCGTGTGTATTTTGCTATGATGTAGGTCCTTGCAGATCTCTTATCAGGTGCTGGACTCCTTGTGACATGTGCGGATCCTTTCTCCAGCCCAGGTGAAGTACACACACCTGGACTGGATCACCCTGGAGATGCCGGGCATGGCCAGCTTCCGGGGCGTGCTGCCGCAGATTTGGGGCGTCCAGCCGCGCCAGCCGGAGGTCGAGGCTCCGGTGAGTTGTCTGAGCAAGCAGCAGGAAGATCATGAAATCTCCAGAAATCAGCCAAAAACCCACACCTGCTTTGCAAGGCGAATCGATTCTTTGACCGCCATGGTACAACCAACATCCAGTGGAGCTTGGGCGCGGCCGATATGGTTTGGCCAAAACGACTTGTTTGACTGTTGGAGGATCCTAGCCGCAAAGCAAGTTGTTATTTTTTGGGGGTTGGGCTCCTCCAGTACCAGTATGGCAGTATGGGAGGTGAAACAGTTCCCGAATGAACCCGCCTTGTTTGGCAATGTGAGTTGATGAGGGAAATGTGTGACATGGCTGGTAAGGCAAGTGCGTGATGTCAGAAGGACCTAAAGCAGCTTGGGCAATCTGTACCTGTGTGTAATATACACATATTCACAAAGAGCGGTAGTCCCGATTCAAATAATTGCTCGCCGCTGCATTGGTCAAGTACTGGCCCCAGCACTTGCATGGCTGACGATATTGTTCGTCGTGCTGCCTTCCAATTGTTGAAATTCAGTTCTGACAAAGTGTTTGTGCTCGCCGCAGTACGTCAAGCATTGCTCCCAGTTCACAAGAGCCCCGTAGCGACCAGGGAGTGCATCCAAAATAGTGGTGACCGACCCAGGGACGTGGTGGTTGGTGGCCCAAATGCATCACTTGTTTCTTGATTGAACGCAGGATTGCAAGTTTGTCCCCCTTTGATCTCAATGTTTTGGGGAGCACCCTTTCTCCCTTTTGTGTTTGGTGAGCAGTGGGTTCTCCGCTAAAAATAGGTCAACCTCCGAAGGCAGCTCCCTTGTTGTGCTACGCCCTGTCCAGGAGATGCTTGTGGCGCCGTCGCAGCGCAAGTCCATGACTGTGTGCGAAGCTGTGGCGTAAAGCGCTAAGCGCATGGGTCAGCCAGCACCTACCGAGCCCAGGTAGCATGTGCCAAAGTCAGCAGTTCATTAGTTCAGTGGCCATTTCTTTGGGTTCTCCTCCCAAAAATGGTCCTGGCCCCGAAGAGTCCAGCCCTCCAGGGTGATGCGACTAGGTAACTGGCTACCTACCACCTGGGATTGGAACTTGTAAAGTCAAGCACGGGTGTTTGGCAGCCCCTGCCCCTTGCACGCTTGGACTGCCAGCTAGCCTTTGGCGTGGACCGGCTCAGGGAAGCCCCGGTTTGCTTTCGCAGAAGCTCCGCGAGGTGCGTTTGCTACAGGCCCTCGGGCAGGTGCCCTTGCAATAGATTTCGTTCAATCCATAGGTACCTAGGTAAAGAGCTTATCAGGAAATATGTAAGGGGTATCCTACAGTACTCCTGTGGTTTCGCGCCGCACATGCCGAGCTTGTGAGGAAAAATGGGCGTTCAGATGTGCGATTCGAAACCAAAGCTGTGGCTGTGGCTGTGGGGGCCTTTCGCGGAAAGCGCGCAGGAGAGTGGGCCGCGGAGTTTCGGGGATTTGGACTTTCTGGATCGGCGCCTTGGATGCCTCAGCGCGTTAAGACGGATTTGCGGAATGGGGGAAATGTCCTCCCTAACCCCCTCAAAAGGCATGGGCGGGGTACCCAAAAATAAGTGGGGTTTGGCCTCCTTGAACCAAAATCCCGCTGCAAATGACTGCAAAATTCCGGTCACCACAAGATGCACCCGTGCAATACGGTAAAAACACATGGTTGGCACACAATGCCACACATGAATTGCAGAGATAGATGTGTCTGTTGATTCGTGCACGTGCGGTGCCCTGCGTCGCACATCCCTGAGTCAATCCATCAGCCGACCGAGCGATCGTATAGTCAAGGAGCCAACAAGTTCCAAGCTTCCCTGGCAGGCGCTTGTGACAAGCAGTCAGCCAAATTGCGCAGTTTTCAGGCGGATAGTCAGCAACTGGCTCTTCATGAGCAAGCCCAACGTCACCCATGTGCACCAGGCCAGGGACCCAAACATCAAACATTGTTTAACAGATTCTACTCTATGGCAATGGTTAACATGGATTATGGATGTGTCTTTCTTTGGGGGAACAACCCCCCTTTTTGGTTGGTTTTAAAGGGACACCACACGCAAACCAACCGTTTTGAGGGTCCCCCAATTGTTTGAGCCCATATGGGCCAGAATGCCCCAATGTCATTTCTATTCGGGCAACAGCTGAGGACCGAACCACTGAACTATTTCCTGTATTTGTAGGTGGCCCCAGGAGCGCCATGGCATACTTTGCTCCAGTTCGAGGCTTCCCAAGCTTAACCCGGATGTGAAAGTTGCCCTCCGATGCGATTTTCGCTCTGCCTGACCGTTTTCCTCCGAGAAGTCGATCGAGGCAATGGATGCAGGGCACATCTTGGCAGGTTGCCGGGCAGGATGTCGACCCTTGGAAGTCCATACCCAATTTCGCCCCTTCAGAAGGGAGCTGGGAGGACCTACACTGCACGTCAAGGTGGGGATAGGCGAGGCCCTACAGTCTGGGCGTGTCAGGTGTTGGTGAGCCCCACCTTCCTGTACGTCATCATGGAGTACTTGGATGGCCCTGACCTGTCTCAATGGCTGCTCTCTCCTGAGGCGGCTCGTGGGGTGGGTCCATGGCCATGTTTTGGTATTTGCTCAGGTTCTAAACATGTCATTCCCCAACAGCTGAAAGCTTTGGGGTCTCAGCCCAGATAGGCTCCGGGGTGGTCTGGGGCGGCCCTGAGGTAAGGTTCCACCAGGGTTCCACCACCAGGGTTCCACTAGGGTTCCACCAGGGTTCCACTAGGGTTCCACCAGGGTTCCACTGGGGTTCCACCAGGGTTCCGAAGAGCACCGCATGCTTGTTAAGGATATCCTTATTTTTGTTTGGGGGCAAAAGCAGAGGAGGTGTTGGTGGCATGATGGCGGGTAGGTTCGTGGGTGACACCAAGAGGGAGGCAAGTTGGAGAACAAGTTTGGACGTTTGGTCGACCTATTTGGGAGCCACCAGCAGTAGCTTCAGGTTCCCGGGAAGGTTTTGGGTTGGACTTTTGGTTTCTCCCAGCTTCTTGTGGCTCGTTCCTAAGCCGCAACCAAAGACTTAAAGGCATCATCTCCATTTCCAAGATTTACAGCATATAACATCAACCAGGCATAGTGCCTGAGCACCCTCGAACCCCCTGGCCAGTTTGGCTCTACTCGGACAAGCAACCTTCCAAAAGACAAGCTACGAACGTCCATGTTGCAGGGCTCCTTAAAAGATACATTTTGCCAATTTGAAACATGGCTTTTTCCACCAAAATAAGGGGAAACCACCGTGTACAAGGCAATGTTCAGGTGTTTAATGTAAGGATCCCTGTGTTGGTGGGCGGGTGCCCATCTTACGTGTCAGTGGGTTCATCAGAAACCGTGGCCTCTACCATAGGTCAAATTTTGTTTGAAGAGGCTGTGGGTCAAAGATGGGTACAACAAATTGGAACCCTAAATGGAAGCATAGACTAAAACTTGCGGTCCAATGTTTGGTGGTTTGATTTTGGCCCGTACCCATGTGATAACCCAAGTCACGCGAGGGTTAGTGGGACTGCGGCGCTTGTCTCGTTCGCTTCTGCCCAGGGCCAAAAACGCACCGAGATGTCGGTGATGAGGCGCCCGGGAGGAATTGGACTGGAGTGAGCCCGGATTTCTACTGGCCCTCGAAGCGCACTTCACTCGCACTCTTCCCTTTTTGTTTGGTGGGTTCCCCACGCAAAATGATCAACACCAAAAAGCAACGGATCCCTTGTGCCATTGCCACGGGTTGAAACTGGGCTGCCGTAGGAGGCTTTGGGTAGGATCCTATTGTCGAATTTGTCCCCCGCTCGACTTGGACAATTGAAGGGCACGAACTCGCGGCCCTTTCTTTCTGAACAACTCCCAGAGGCTAGTCATGCTGGGGGAGATGTTTCTTTTTACGCTAATACAGTAGCTGGTTGCTGCCCTGTCAAGGCAGGGCTCCCTGCCCCTCCGAACAATGGGCTGGGTTTGGATTGTGGAAAAGGAGCTGTTGGGATGAGAACTTTGGGGGAGTCCATTGAAAAATATGGGGAACCTGGCAGTACAACTTTGAGGCTCCGAGCAAGCATGTTGCCTGTCAGGCAGGAGTTTTGCGAAGCAGGGGGCAGCACATGGCAGGGGAGGGGCCTGGGGGGAGGTCATTATTTAGACAACCCCAGTCAGTGCCCACAACTGAGTTCTGGTAGTTTTGTGGAGGCCTAGGGCTGATTGATGTTTGCATTTCTGCAACAAGGAGTATCAAATGCACCCCAGGCTGGGTGAGGCTTTGGGGTGCAGGCAGAAGGCAGCAGGCATTCGGCATTTCAGGCAATAGCTTTTTGCGGTAGAGCAGCTGGGGGAGGGGCCGTTACTTAGATTCTTTTCGGCAGGAAACAGGTTTGGGGAGCTTCCGAGGCAGTTTGGGGATACACGGGGAACAAACTTTCCATCATTCTGACCCCGGAGGGGGCTGGGCGGAGGGGAACCTCTTTCGTTTTCAATAGAAAGCGAAAGGACACCACGCATGCGTAGATGCAATTTGGGCGCCTTTTTTTTCTGATGAAGGCGGGACATCCATCATGTTTGCGTAGGCAATTTCGGTGGATGCGCCGGCATTCTGTATGCCTATGCCTTTTGTTCGCGTGCGCAATGATATACATTAGCCGGGATGATATACATGAGCCGGCAAGCTCCTGTCGCTCAGACAGTGAGGCCTGGATTATCAAAACTGAACTGCATGCTGCAATTTGCGCAGGCTCCGCGTAGGCTCCCGAGTAGTCTCCAGGCCCATTTCGTCAAATCTGTGTGTTCCTTTCTGGGCGGACCGCCCTTCTCGTTGCAGCCTGCAGCTGCCAAATGCACCGAGTTCTACACGCCGCGATTTTGGAGCTTGCACTGCCACAGGGCGTGACACTGTCTGCCTCACGTATCGCAGGTAAACCCAAAAATCCCCAAGCGGGCGATGAGGGACTCGGCATTGCCAATTACAAAGTTGAAGCCGAGCTGGAGTAGCGGCGGGCGAACAGCTTGCTGGGCATGTGCGCAGGCAACGAACATGCACACGCGCGCGCGCGCGCGTAGGTTTGCGCAGCGAGTCGGTGCGCGTGCAGTGCCTAGGCCCCGAGCACATCCGAGCACCAAACAAAAGCACTGCCCATGTTGGCTTGATTGTGTTGAGGAACCCCCTTTTGGCTGGGCTTCAAGAGAGGCCCCAATCTCCATTTTCCAATTTTTCGCGAGGGACAGCACCGGGGCAATTTGGCAGGATTGCTTGTGCACAAGGCACGTGGCAGAATATGCTAAATTGCGATGCGAACGTGGAGCCAGACAGCAAACTCGCAAAAGAGGGGCCGCATTCGGGCCCGAAGAAAGACAAATCCATGAGTTCCTCGACTTTATGCATTTTTTGTAGCGGTAACAAGAATCTGAAGTTCAGCTTCTTCGGACCTGACAGTTTCCCAAACCAAAGGGAGATCTCAAATGTACGGGGGGGGGGTTCTCGATTGTTTTTGTTTGTATTTTGTCAGGCACCCCTTAGTTGGTGGTTCGGATTGGTGGCTTGGGGATTTGCGCCCCTTGTTGTGGAGGGCAAATGGGAAAATTATCCTCAACCAAAGCACCCATCCAAACCGGGTTTGCTGATTGTTTCGCAGGATGTTGCACCACATCCTGGTGGCGGCGCGTGAAGTGCACCGCCATGGCTTCGTGCACCGAGATTTGAAGTTCGACAACTTCCGCTTCGCCCATGGCGGCTGGACTGGACTGGACACGCGCGCGATCGGGGTCTTTCTTGGGGAAAGGGACGGCAAAGGGATGTGTTGTCTCTCTTTTTTTTTTTTGGGGGGGGGGGCGTGGTTGCCTCGTTTAATTAGAAGCAACACCTAGGCTGGGAAGCCAGGATTGTCCCTTGGTAAGGCGGTCCGTGAATCCTTCAAATGGGTCTGTGCTTTTTTACCGTGTCAGTTATTTGGTCTTCGTGGGAGGTGGGGCTTGGGCGAGCCATGCCCCCGAATCATACCCCGAACCATACCCCCGAGCCATACCTTGAGTCATACCCCTTAAAATACACGAAAAAAGAATTTGTAAGAACTGTGGCATTTGCATGTGATCCATGGATAGCTGGAAGCTATAGGGGGTTTAACTTCAAGTGAAGAAGGGGGTCTTGTCAAGAAACAGTGTTAGAGAGCTTGACATGTGGGCTGAAAAAAATACCCCGCGCCTTTTCGTTATGTAAGGGGCCGTCCCTTAACTTGTTTCGCAGGCCAAAACCATTGTAAACCGATACAGAGGAAAAAAACCGATACCCCCAGAAGCCATGAAGACACACATCAGGTCCTAGTTGTTGTCGCAAACCAAGATTGCGGAATCATAAATTTGCAGGGCCCAAACCGATACCCAAACCGATACCAACCGATACCCAACTCATTGGCCGCCATGCCGAATGCAACCAGCTGCCCTGCAGCCTTCTCTGGAGCTGCCGCATACTACTGAAAAAGTTGCTACTTTCCAGCTGGAGCTGCCAAAATGTACTTTGTGTACTACACTTGTACTGAAAGTTGCGATTTCCAGCTGGGGCTGGGAGCCGGCAGAGTGTACTTCGCATACTACACTTGTACGGAAAAGTCGCGACTTTCGAGCCAGAGCTGCCAAAACACTGCAAACCGATGCAGAGGAAAAAAAACCGATACTGACCGATACTGAGGCATAAGGATACAAGGGTTGTCCACGGGTTTTTTTTTTTCAACCCATGTGGACCGATGCCAGGGGGTACGGACTCCGAGGTAATACCTGGTTCACTTGTGGTTCCTGGATCTATTCTTGAGCCTGCGATGCTTGCATGATTGGGCTCTGATGTCATGGGGCCAAGTACAGTTGACATGTCCACTCACACACTCACTCTTGGCTCAAGTGGTGTTCCTTGACACTCGGTTACCCACCTCGGTCTCGGCTTGCTTTTTCGATGGAAAGTAGAGCAATCCTGCGGATGTCCTGGTACTAGAGTTGTCTGTAGCATCCGTGGTGCTGTGGCAGGGGGGTTCAGCTTGACGTAAGACGCTGGGACTTGCAGGGCGCTGTGGCGGGGGGTGCCGCTGCTGAGCTTGAAACTTGGAGCTTGGCTTCCTGCAGTCTGTCCGACGCGGTGGAAACAGCTGTCTGTTCTGGGCCACTGTCGCAGTGAAACACAAGCTGTCTTTGTGCTCCTGGGGTACTCTTGGTGTCTTTCCGGTCGAAAAAATCTGTCCCCCGATTCATACCCCCGATTCATACCCGATTCATACCCCGATTCATACCCTTCTGCTGCCATTTGCAGCCAAGAGCCTCTTGCGCTCTGGGCAGCACTAGCAAAGCTATGCCGCCCAAATCCTAAGAAGACACAAAACTCAAAAAGACCTTCTGCAGGAACCAGAAGGTGGGTTCGGAAGGCTTACTGCGATGTATCAAGCGCGACACGGTACACCACCTGTGAGAGGCCCACTAGCCTCTGCGCGGCTGCCGTTTGAGGATGTCACGCTGTCTTGCCCTCGCGCTGGTTCGTGACTGGTGCGGGTGGCGGGCCTGACTGGGCAGCGGCGCTTCCCCTTAAGCAACGCTTGCTTGGGTCTGTGAGCACGCGGGTCGCTTGAACTCCAAGTGGAGGTGGCCATGACGTTCGCCTCAGTCAGTGGCTCTGCGCCTTCCACCTAGCGCAGCAGCTTTCGCTAACCCACTCACACAGAGAGTGGCAGCTGTCCAGTTCAGGCCACTCGCAAGCGCCCCAGGCTGGCTTGTAGCAACTAAGCGGTCCAAATTCTCACGGCTATCTAGTTGCTAGGGCACGGGAGCTTTGCAGTGTCCAAAGCCACAAAACAAGAGTTCAGAGGCGCGCGAGCCATACCCCGAATCATACCCCCGATTCATACCCGATTCATACCCGATTCATACCCCGATTCATACCCTTCTGCTGCCATTTGCAGCCAAGAGCCTCTTGCGCTCTGGGCAGCACTAGCAAAGCTATGCCGCCCAAATCCTAAGAAGACACAAAACTCAAAACGACCTTCTGCAGGAACCAGAAGGTGGGTTCGGAAGGCTTACTGCGATGTATCAAGCGCGACACGGTACACCACCTGTGAGAGGCCCACTAGCCTCTGCGCGGCTGCCGTTTGAGGATGTCACGCTGTCTTGCCCTCGCGCTGGTTCGTGACTGGTGCGGGTGGCGGGCCTGACTGGGCAGCGGCGCTTCCCCTTAAGCAACGCTTGCTTGGGTCTGTGAGCACGCGGGTCGCTTGAACTCCAAGTGGAGGTGGCCATGACGTTCGCCTCAGTCAGTGGCTCTGCGCCTTCCACCTAGCGCAGCAGCTTTCGCTAACCCACTCACACAGAGAGTGGCAGCTGTCCAGTTCAGGCCACTCGCAAGCGCCCCAGGCTGGCTTGTAGCAACTAAGCGGTCCAAATTCTCACGGCTATCTAGTTGCTAGGGCACGGGAGCTTTGCAGTGTCCAAAGCCACAAAGCAAGAGTTCAGAGGCGCGCGAGCCATACCCCGAATCATACCCCCGAGCCATACCCCGAACCATACCTGCGATTCATACCCCTTATACCAACCTCCCGGCACGGCCACGTCAAAAAAACACATACCCAAATTGTGCATCCCAATTCGTCCAAGGACTTGGATCCGGGGTCATGTGCATGCCGGAGCATCGGGCCGAAACGGCCCCCGTGGAACATCCCTAGGATTCACTGAGGTTTGGAGCTTCATGTGTTGGGAGACCCATATCCCCATCAATGGTTTGAGAGAAGTTTCTAAAGAATGGGTTCGGACCGAACGGTTCTCAGACGCTTTCTGGACAATAGGAGTATGGGTCTGAACGGTTTCTCCCGAAGCAAGCCAGAAACATATGTGTTGGTTCGACTCCGCGTCCTTTTTTTGTTAGTGAGAGTGTGGCAAATGCCACGCCTCCCGGGTGCCTTGTGTCTTGAGTTGAAGGGCCCGGGAGTGTGGTTTTCCCAGTTATTCAGTGGCACCCTCCAACCGCCGTTTGTCTGCCGTGCTCACAGCAGAAGGGGGGACACGCCTCGCAGCTGACTGGCAGGTTTCTGAAGACTACAGTCCTCTTCAGATGGCCGTTTGTCCACTTCCTCGATGGTCGGGAAAAGGGCTACAGCAAGTAAGCAAACGCCACCCCCTTCCGAATTGATCTAGTCCCACTTGTTCAGTCACAGTGATGGTTGCTTCCTTGCAAACTTAGGTTCTTGATTCCTGCGCATTTTTGTAGCATCAACCAGCACAAAGGTGTGTCCTTGCTTTTCTGTGGCCGTTGGAGTAGCGCATGTTGTTTCTTTCCCTTTCGGGTGGATGAACCCGAGGCCCGTCAAGCGAGCTAAAGCTTGTGGATGTTGTCGGGCATCTTGGTTTGCACAGAGACGTGCGACCCATCCCCGCTTCGTTGTCACTTGTTGCTCAATCCGCATTGCGTTGGCTCCGCAAAGTTGTCACTGCGCAATATGCCTGACAGTAGGTGCACTGGTGCAGCACACGTGTAAGGATGTTTGCTTCGCATGTGTGTATATGCGAGATGAAATAAATACACTGTTGCTTCTTTGCGCTGGTATGGCAAAGTCAAAGGTTTGATGACCAAAGCCCTTGGACCAACTGCTTTTGGGTCACACCGCAATGTAGTGGAAGGTAGTCTGCTGGTTGAGTTTGAGAGTCGCGAAGGCTGCGCAGTTTGGTGGCCATCCCCCTGTTCTGGCTGATGCCGCCAATGATGAAGCCATGGTACAGTTGCGCCCCCAACAAAACTTTGCAAGCAGCAAGGAGGAGGCTTCATGTGGCACGCTTGCTTTCTGTAAGCATGCCCTTGGACTGCAAGACTCCAATCGCGTAGGTGCTCTCATGCTAACATGTTCCTCGCATAGGCCATCCCGCATGGTGTATGCACTTGGCGCTTTCGCCGGCAATTTCGTGCAATCAGTCGCTGCCAGTGCCGTAGCAAACAAAGACACTCTGCTCACATATGCGCACAAGCGGCATTTTCTTGGTCTCAAAGATAGGCCCCCAGCAATTTTGCCGACTCAAAAGGCATGATCTTGGTCGGCAGCTTGTTGCTTTAGCTGAGGACCATGTGCTTCCGCCCTGATCGGCTGATTTCCAAAAGCTGGTGCGGCACGGGTCCCTTTCTGAGCCCAGAAGCGCTGCTGGGTGATGTGTCGCCGGCGGTGGACATGTGGGCCGCTTTTCTGAGAGAAGTGCGAGCTGGCTTCGCAACAGGCAACTAACTTTTCCAAACAGGCTGCGGAACAGGTTGGTCCATTCTGCTCAGGGGTTTCGGATGGTTTCGGCCCAGTCAAGCCAAAAACACGGGCCATAAGGCAAGAACAGGTTGGGGAGGACACTGGAAACGCCTCTCCGAGCCAAATCCACCCCTCTTTGTGAGGAATCGGTACATCGATCCGATCTCTTCAAGTAAAATGAGAGTCCGGGCCGAGGGGCGACCTTTGTCGATTGGACTGCCTGGAAAAAACTCGTGGAAATTCCGTTGCAAAGTGGGACAATGGCTGAAGCAAGCCTGGGCCCCTTGAAAGACATGTTTCACAAAGCCTTGTTCAGCATTGTGAGGCAGTTCGGCATTCGTGAATCGCATCCTTCCCGCCCTGTGAAAGTATGACACGTCGGTTCGAACAATATTTATGAGTAGGATGCCCTGGGGTCTCACAAACCATAGTGCAGGGCTTTCTTCTCACCGGTTGTTTGTGCTTTTGGGGTGGTTCGTGAAAAGAGAGATTGGTTTTCAGCCGGCTTCATTTGTTTGAAGACTTGCTGCTGTGGCACAGCTAAAGGCCCAACATGGGCGATCAGGGAACAAGGATGAATCTCTCAGTGGATTTCCAGCGTATGGGTTCTTAGGGCTCTTGAGGGTAGCCGAATCTCTTCATCAGCATGGAGGCGCACATGCCATCACCAAAAGCCGTTGCTAAAAGGAAAGTAAACCTCTTGAACAAGTTTTTTTCCCCGCACTGCCAGGTTTTGTTGGTTGGCGGGAGCGTAGCATTTCATGCGGATTTGCTGGTGAGATCCGAGGCAATCGGCGTGATGGCATTCAGCCTTCTTCACGGGGATTTGCCTTTCCAGGCGCCGCGTTTGGAAAGCCAAACCCGGCAGTCGGAAGTTGGGAAGATGTCCCTTCCAATGGAATGGAAGCTGACAGGGTTTTGGAGGACGACTTCCCTTTGAAGGTCCACTTGCAAGACTTGGTATGTACCCTGCCTTCCAGTATCATGGCACCTGACAGGGGGTCCCTCCAAGAGGAAATTGATGTTCCAGGTACCCTTCTGAGGGCAAACCGTTCTCATTTCGATCATAATTTCTGAGGTCCCGAACGTCGAAGCTGACTGCTGCCTTTGGGAAGCCCGTTTTGCAAAGGGGGACGAGTCACTGGCTGAAAGGCGCCATTCGGCTGACGGCTGGGTGTCCTGCAAGGAGCTCAAGCCGAACCCATGAGGCCCCCTTGCCCCACCCCCTGTGCCACCCCCTTTAAACCATCTTCCGGGGGACCACTCCCTTGGTAAACTTATTCTGGATTCTTGTTTGGGAGGGGGGGTCACACCATGATCACACTGGCTGTTGTACACAATTTGACATCCCGATGACACCAGGATTTTGTTCATATGTTTTTGAAGTTGAAGGGTTTCGGGGGTTGCTGTACGCACACCTTCCGCCTGCCTAGTTATCGTGTATACTGTTTAGACTGATGGGAAGAGCCTGAAGAAGAGGTTTCAACAAACTCAAGAAGCACGTTACTAAACCCGATCCAGCTTCCACAACAGTATTGAACCCACGTGATGTTTGTTTTGGAAAAACGTCGCTACAAAACAGTCGGTTCCGAGTCGGCAATCAATCGCTCGAACATTGCAAATAGTTATTGAGGGACCCCGACTACTGTCAGAATAGTTTATGCTGGTCAGGAAGCCCAGAAAAAATGCCAATCATTCCAGGGGGTGGACCCACGCGGTTCCATTGGGAGGTTGGCGAGCTCGATTTCCATGAGAACTTGGGCCCTGTGCAGAAAGGCTTTCGCAGCGCGAAAGAGGATTGACATGCATCCACAAGAAAACTTATTTTGGAGGAATCTCCTTTTAGGGGGCCCCTTTCTGGGTTTCATGTGCAAATTTGAAGACGGGGAATCCCCAAGCTTCAAATGTTTGGCGGACCCTTGCCACGGATGTGCGATGTGTGGAATCCGGCACCAATGGATCTCTTACCCTGCAAGACTGACCTCTACCAAACAAAATCATTAAACGAGCCCGTCCTTTCAATCGAGCCTTAAACCCAGAAGAGCCAACACCGAACCCTGATGAATGAAGTCTTAGCTCGTGTCCAGCCCAATGTAATTCCAAGGCTTTTCCGTGCCTTCTTTTCCTGTCAAAGCTCCCTGAGGCCTCTTCCATCTCCGAGCTCCGAGACGCACACGCGTGCCTTGGCTCGTCGGTTCTCAGAGGTCTTCTGGCATGTTAAGTGCTCGGCCTCACCATGACAAAGTGTTTGATCTTCTGACCTGCCCTTCCCATGTTCGCCTCAGAATGGCGTGCGATTCCCTATGTCGTTCCCCGCTTTTGGTGCTTGACTCTTTGGCGTGACCTGCGTCGTTCCGATCATTGGTGCTTGGCATTTGCTTTGTTCACTGCCACCTGATGAATGGCGTGATGAATGGCGTGTGTTTCTGGATGCTTACACGAGGACCCGGGGGTCGTGGCTTGTCTCACCAAGCCGCACCTGCCAGAACTCCATTAGGTACCGAACCCGAACCCGAACCCGAACCCGAACCCCCCCCCCCCCCGTGGCTTGGACTGTTCCGTGCCAAGTGACGGCGGCACGGGGTTGACAAGTTCGCGGGGTTCGCGGGGTTCGCGGGGTTCGCGGGGTTCGCGGGGTTCGCGGGGTTCGCGGGGCTCGCGGGGTTCGCGCGGTTCGCGGGGCTCGCGGGGTTCGCGGGGTTCGCGGGGTTCGCGGGGCTCGCGGGGTTCGCGGGGTTCGCGGGGCTCGCGGGGCTCACGGGGTTCGCGGGGTTCGCGGGGTTCGCGGGGTTCGCGGGGTTCGCGAGGTTCGCGGGGCTCGCGGGGTTCGCGGGGTTCGCGGGGTTCGCGGGGTTCGCGGGGCTCGCGGGGTTCGCGGGGTTCGCGGGGCTCGCGGGGCTCGCGGGGTTCGCGGGGCTCGCGGGGTTCGCGGGGTTCGCGGGGCTCACGGGGCTCGCGGGGCTCGCGGGGTTCGCGGGGTTCGCGGGGCTCGC